CGCTTATTTCACCATAGATTTTCCACTATCTTACTTATAAGCTGATGTATAGAGTTTAAAGGTAAAGGTGCCCTTTATAGATAACCATAAGTCAATTCATCCTCTGCATTTGACCCATCCTGATGCCGCTAAGGCTTCCGTCAGGAGCAGTGGTCGCCGTAGTAACAGCGCCCGAACCCATCTCCAGATGTTGATGCTCTGCTTGGTCAGGACCGGAGATGGAGGATTTGACCTAGTGTGCATGTTTTTAGTGGTGGGGGAAACCAGAGCACCCAGAGGAAACCTACGCAAGCACGTTCCGACTGGGATTTGAACCCAGGACCTTCTTGCTGAAAGGCGAGTGTTTTGTTTTTATTCAGATCCCCACTAGCTACTGAAAGAAACAGTAGCTAGTACGTAGTGTTGCTTGACAGTGACTTTGAGCACTGTCAGCTACATTATATATGTAGACTATTGTACTTCATGTATACGTATATATATATATATTTTTGTATGTTTTACTCTGATATAAATATACATCATGTCTTTGGATATGTTATTTTCACTTGTCCTGCTGTTACACTTATTTGTGATGTGAGTTTTGTTTTGAGTGGCTCGTGTAAAACATGAAATGACAGTGAATACAGCCGTCTCATTATCATTCTAAGGGACAACAATAATGCGTACAATTTCTTCTTTAAACCCCAACTCAAATACACAACTTTCCCGCCCCTTGCAAAAAACAAAAAGACGCAGAGACGGTGGATCCTTGTTATCGTCTGTAAACGTTTCACTTTATTTTCTACATTTGGATCAGCTGAGTGTGGAAGCCTGGACATGTCAGTTTACTCTCCCCTCACACAGCAGAACACCAGAAAAAAAACGGCTCCATTCACGCACACGCACACACACACACACACAGACACACACCTCCTCCAGCTCCAACCAAACCAAACGCATGTAAACCCTTCCTCCATTGGAGAAAGCTGAAATGGTTGAACACTTTTTGATCTCCGCGGCGGCACCGAAGTCCACGGAAATAGGAAGCATGATATTTGAAGAAGAAAAAACACAAAACAAAAAACGAAAGGGACGTGAAAGCAGCGTTTTTTGTCAGATATGGTTGGAATACTAAAGAAAGATATAGACTGAGATATGTCTCTACAAATGGCAGACGGAACCACGAAACAAATGATAAGAAATACATCGAGAGAAAAAAAAAAGTGCAGGAGCGAGGAGTTGATTTGAATATGTTTTATGATTGGTCAAAAAATAATCAAAAGAAAAACCCAAAGAAAGTATTGCGGCCAAAACTAAGTCGTAAATGCACCTCTGAGGTTCTGTTTTTTCATGCATTTTTGTGTGTGAAGGATTTACTGCTTCTCTTGTTTGGCTAAAATAATATTTGACAATGGAACAAACCTTTTGATTTTCTTAAATGAAGAAAAGGAATGAGGATAAGAAACTGCTGTACATGCAATGGCACTAAAACATTCACAAATATTTTAAGACGGTCAAAAATTCAAAATCAGTAAAACATGGCGACTTCAAGCTGCTGTCTCCTACTTTCTCCCTCCGACAAGGATTGGGTGATACCATTATTGTGGATATCAATGTGAAGCTGAATACTCGTGAATCGATTAGTTAAAGCTGGGGTCCATAAACTTGAGAACCGCAACAATGGAACTATGTCATAAAATCCACATAACTAGTTCCTCTCTCAAAACAGTTTTTGGTTCTTTCACTAGTTTTCACACATGCATTTTTTGTCTCTGTCACATCTATCAATCCGTTTTTTTCAGCGATAAAATTGAAAAAAAGAGAGGAGCACAATCCCTCAGCCAAAATGCTCAAATACTGACGCACAGGGCTCTTTCTTACAAGTTCACAATGTAATATAAATATAAATATGTCAAATAATAAGATCGTGGTTTTACTTTTACGAGACTTGTGTATTATTTATAGAACAAATACTGTATGTACCCCAGCTTTTATCTTCACTTCCTTTTGGACCAGTGACTAATAATGTTTTAGTTATTTGATTCTCTCATCTGCTGTTGGCAAATCAACACTTTTGAGAAGCCGTTCCGAGAGGACTTTTGCTGTGTTTTGGGCTTTACACAAATATAATAACTTGGTACCAACACCAGCAGTAAAAAAACATGTTATGGACAAACCGTTCTGACACCGATGGATCCGTCCAATCAGCTGCTGGCAAAGTGTCTTCGCCCAGAATCAATGAAACGCTCCTAATGCTCTGATGGTTTTCATGTTTAGTGATATTGATATTTGCATAAGACCCAGGGCTGCATCACTCATGGCACTTAGATCAACATTGCAGTTTTTGTGCTTGGAGTTGTCAAATATTTGCTAATTTCTTTACACACATAAAGTCATTTGAATTGGGAAAAAAATGTCTGAGTTTATTTTGAAGATTTAAGAGCTTTGGTCTTGTGATCGTGAAATATCCATCCATCCATTTTCTACCCTTTAATCCATTTCTGGGTCAGGGGGGTGGCAATCAGAGATGCCACCCATCGTGAAATATTGTTTTCTAATTCTCAAATGAGGCATTGAATCATTTACATAAACTGTCAACATATGTGAATCTAGTGAGAAAAGATCAAATTCATTTATAGTGAATCTTTTATGTCTACTAGAAAATAAGTGGTTGTACTCATTTCACTCTGAACGGTGTTGGAATTGTGGTAATCGTGCTATTTTAATATAGCATCTTTTGTTTTAGAATAAAAATGACAATGTTGGTCATTTATCCCAGAAATATCCCATTTCAATAATATGCCCAAACCGTGCAACCCTAACAACATCCTTGATAGAAACAGTTCTGTAACAATAAATCATAATCATTACTTTGATACCGATATTCCTTGACCTGGATATGTCCTCATTGATCCAAACAGCTTTAGTAACCCTGGGCTGAAGGCGTAAAAAGAGAAAGATAAAGTAAAAATAAAGAAGATGAAAACAAAAGGCCATTCGCTGCTCAGTCTGAGTAATATTGAAAATGTTACTTCGATGGGAAGAATAACACTGGTTTTGTGGAGAGCTGGAGTTGGACAAGCCCAGTCAGAACTTTGTGATGCTGCCTTTGTGCGCTATAAAAATAAATACGAGTAACCAAGTGGGAAATTTGACTGCAGTAAAAATGAAAGTAAGAAATGGCTTGAATTTGACCAAATATATCTTGTTTTAAAACTGTCTAATGAAAAGATTTGTTATTGAAACCAGTTAGTCTTATTTTAGCGTTCAGCAGATTCCCCTCATTTCGTCTGAAAAATGACTATACATTACGTACTGTACTCGAGTATCTTTACATTTTTACTCCTTATTTTCAAACCCAAATATTTGCACTTTCTACTGCTTACATTTTAAAAGTATGCATTATTGTTATTATTAAAAAATGGGTCAGTTACTATGATGCAAAAGTGTATTTTAGTTTTTTGCTTAAGTACGTATAAACTGAAGTAAGGGAGTTGTTATACTTTTACCAGAGTTGATATTTTTGTGTTTATAACTCAAGAGTTGCACTTTTGCCATTTCTGATTTGGACTAAAACTCACTTAATCTGGTTTTAAGGCAGTCAAAATGTAAAACAAGTCATTAGAAAAACGTATGTTCTACTTTTTCACTGGGAAATAATGTTGATGCCTCTTGCTTTTCCTCACAGCAGCATCAAAATAAAAAAGTAAACATTTTTAACTGCTACATGTATTCCCCATTTACAAATCTCTATCGCCGCATAATGTTACTATAGAAAATTGCTTGCTCGCCGTTGATTTGTTCTTGTAAGCAAAACAATTGGCTCCAGTCTGCATATATACAGAGAAAGCCATTTCTTTCACATATATTCCTCATCTATTGTGTGTATTTGTAAATCGCCACGACCGCAAAAACGCATCGCATAGTGGAAGTGTTAATTTCTCCCAGATTTTGCACACAAAGGCAGCATTCTCCTGATAAAACATGATAAAAGAAAAACAGACGGAGAGACTAGTTTCTGATCCGCAACACTGGACAAATGACTTTTGACTTTCAGCTTGCATAAACATGATTCTATAGTTACTTCTGTTATTAATATGACGTGATATTTTCTCTCTGCAGTGTCCTTTTGAGCTTTCTCCTGTCCAGGCAACATTGGGATATGCCACAGACTGTCCACCAGAGGGAGACAAACGCTTCTGTAAAACGTACGGGGACAATACAATAGGAGGGGCCTCGCTGCTTCAGGACGCGCATACACATACAACACCCTTCTTCATTGGAGTTGTCTTAAAAGCATAGAAAATTAAATAAAAAAAAAATGTATAACCTCATTCATCCACACAACGCTCGCACAAATATAAGTACACAGCCAGTCTTTCGAGGCAGTAAACGTTAAAGTGATGAGTTAAGGGGTGGACTTTGGCTGCTTCGGAGTTCAAACAAAATACCTCCTTCTCCTCTTCAGTGACCATGGTGGCATTCAATTTAGTTATATGTGTTTTTTCTAGTTCCTTAGCAGGCTTATGTAAAGACAGATGTAACAAAGAATGTAATTTCCTCTTAGGCCATCCTTACCATCTCTCATTCAGTATTTTTCACATTCAAAAAACATGAAACGCCAAAGAAAAAAATCCAAAGATAATGTTCAAGGACCACCCTGTCTCAAAAGGAGGTATTTTCTGTGAATTCGGACGCAGCCGTTGCTATGTCCAAGGAAGCCATGAGTGCAGAAACAAACTGCCTCTGATATTTCTCCGAGTTTAAAATCTCTTTTAAAACCAAAATGGACTATCCAAATGTCTCCGAGCTCTGGAGTCTTTGCACGTTTTCCGAGGAAGCTTTCGTTCGCGCTCCGTTGATCTGTGGCAGAGGTAGTACCATCCAGTCTTCCAGTCCACACACTTCCTTAATCTTTTTCCCCATCAAAATGTTTTTTTTACCCCCCTCAAGCCCAATCGTGTCAAACGTGTCCCCATGGGCCGCGGTCGGTATGACGGGAGAGAGCCGGGTGGACGCGGTCAGAAGACTTCGGGCAGTGTGACGTTCCGCAGGAGCCACTGTTGGGAGCGCGAGTGCGTACAGTCTCTGACGCTGGGCACTTGGCTGTCCTCCTCGCTGGCCTTGTCCAGACACTGGTTACTGTTCACGTGCACCAGCGTTAACTTCTGCAGGACGGAGAAAGAAAGAGAGAGAAAAACAGTTATGTTAGAGTCTGGTTTTGGTTTGACTTGTTCAATTTCCTGATTGTCTTTTTCAGCACGACCAAAAATTTGATGAAATGGGCTGTAACTGTCTAAGGACGAAGACAGAATTCTACAATCGGAATATCCCCAGGGTTCCCTTATATCAAAAATAACTTTAAATTGATGTAAATATTATGTTGTTTTTTTAATTTAGACCTTCACATCTTTTTAGCTGAGAGAGCCAAAACGGTCTATACTTTAAAATGTTTTTCATAGGAGCCATAAACAGTTTTATCTTTGAATATTAAAAAAACACATTTGGAGTGTAGGATTAGTCTCAGTATGCATTCTTACTATTAATGCCTACTAAAATGTGAGACACAATCATCAAAAGAGCCACAGGTTCCTTACAAGGAGCAATATGAACAACTTCATAAAGGAAAGAGCAGCATGCGCCAAATCCTCCACACAGGAGCTTCAACTGTTGTTACACGCTGTCACTCTGTCAAGTCTCGTCTCCTTGCGTGACTTGTGTGTAGTTTTAACCCCTCCTTCTCCGGTCCCACATGTAAGCAGCGGAATATACAACAGTTTGATTTGATTGCCGTCTAAATTAGCGCTATAATTAGTGTTTCTATTTCATCCCTCCTGACCGCCAGAGGGTGGTACATAGCACTGAATGTTCCCTTCGCATCATCCGGGATTCATAGAACCGTGGTTATATACGTAACCTTCGTTTCACATTGAACACACCTCAGCAAAAAGACAAGGTGGTGAGGTCTGTTAAATGACGAGTCCTATTGACACGCCAACCCATGTCTCTTAGTGTGTAAGGATTATCAGACCCAGAGGTTTACGGACAACAAAAACCATATGATTTTGCATAATAGGAATGAGGCTATAGTGAATACTGTGGATCGGTAAATTATATTTTGTACATTCGAATCTCGTTCTTGGTGTAAATTATGTAAAACAAAACGTACCAATAAGATCACTGGTCAAGTAAGTAAGTAAGTAAGTAAGTAAGCTTTATTTATATACCGCCTTTCACAGACCAAAGTCACAAAGCGGTTTACAATTGTTATTTTTTGGGCACCTGTCCTCTCACTCCACACAGAGATGGGAGCGGGGTCGCCGAACATGAGGCGCATGCCAGACCTATTGTACATATTTTTAGTGGTAGGGGAAACCGGAGTACCCGGAGGAAACCTACGCAGACACGGGGAGAACATGCAAACTCCACTCAGAAAGGCCCTGGTCCGGCCGGGATTCGAACCCAGGACCTTCTTGCTGAGAGGCGAGAGTGCTATCCACTCAGCCACCGTTCGCTAACAGCAGATTTTTTTCCTTTCAGACAAAATCAACTGTTTAATCACGGATTACAAAAATAAAGGCATTTTGTTGCATTAAGAACAGTGAGCGTGAGACCAGAAAGAGCCACAGAGTTTTTGACTGTTGGAGACAAACATGCATGTAAGGACTAGTACAAATTTGGATATGTAAATACTAAGGAGAGAAGACCATTTTGCATGAATGAATCTAACAAATGTAGTCCTATCAAATTACATCCTTGTTTGAAAGTTAGCACTGAAAAGTTTGCTCCTTGAGTTCAAAACAGCCTCAAAGCGGTCCATGAGCTCGTGCGTTGACATGGTTGGGATCTGACTCCTTGCCCGTGGGGGTGTACCCGTAAAAAGAATTATCCACTGAATTCTTACAACCCATTCTTTCCTCTCAAAAACAGCTTTACGGCCTGGTCCAAAAGTTGGCTCGTGGCCCGACGCTACAGTCCAGATGAATGGACCAGCCTAGTTTAGCCGCTATGGCCTTTTGAAGGCACTCGCTAAATGAACGGGGCAAGTGCCGGCTAACGCGTTTTGAATCTGCCCATGTCTGTAGCACATACCTTTCAAAGGAGGAAATAGGCGTCACTACGTTCGTTAATATTTACAGTCTATGTTTCAAACTTTGGATTATGTCTGTGGTCACTCAAGGACCCCTAAACATGTGGGCAAAATCTACCCACAAGCCCCACTGAATCCCAAATCAGTTGTTAATTGATCTTGATTCACTTGAATGATTGAGTCTTATCTAAAAAAAAGTGGTCAAATACCATGAAAAGATCATTTTACCTTGAAAATAATTGACCCCCATGCGGAGTCCTGCCACCCACAATGTCGTTCTGGCTATAATTTTGTGTATAAGATCAATTAAGGTGTTTACTGTAGCTACACAGTTTCTGAAGATTGTAACTGTGCGACATCACACTCTGGTCTCTGCAGCACAGTATACAGTCTGTTTCCTGCTCTGAATTCCTGACAATTTTTATTACATGTGGGTTAGGGCCTTTCTGCACGGAGCATTATGTGGATGTGGTTTTGCAATGTCTCAACAACACTTCACCCTAAATTATGAGTCGTTTGAATCGAATCCTCGTCAAATATGTGTTTACGCCCAGAGCAGAATGCTTGTTTGTCACATTTGTCTGCATCTCTCGGTGGGGGACATGCGCAAGACGTGTTGGGGCAGAATGTTGGCATTTTTGTCTTGGTTAATCCTCGCTGACTTTAGTTTGACCTTTTTGAATATTTGAAGAAGTCTGCGAAGAACCTGGTTATGTATTTGACCGCAATAAAATCAGGGAAGTTCTAATATAGTAACAATTATAGTTATCTAAAAAGGATTGACTATGTCTGACTGGTGGTTATTTAGATTGGAACCTTTTTGACGGATAAATAAGATCTGCTATAACATAAGTAACTTAAAGTTAAGGTACCTACATTTTGTCTGTCCCAACAGAAAATTCAAAAACATGAAACAATAATAAGTGTATTTAATCTTGAAAATACTGAATATTTTTGACTATCTGACCCTACATTAGGGGCGACAGTGGCTCAGTTGGTAGAGCATTGCCTTTAGGCCTGAAGGTCGTGGGTTCGATCCCACCGTAAGGGACTCCAACTGATGTCTGCTGTCGTTGGGCAAGACACTTAACCCCACTTTGCCTGAAGCCCCCACTGAAAGATCAAGTCTCCTGTGGACTCAACACCTGCAGAAGGATCAGTGAGGGGCTGGTGCTAAGTCTGCCCCCCCCCCGACCCAGAAATGGATTAAGGGGAAGAAAATGGATGGATGGATGACCCTACATTATTACTATTGTTAGCTTTTTGGAATGATCAATTTAATTTTTTATTTTTGCTGCTACTGGACACCTGAATTTCCCCTACGGGGATCAATAAAGTATCCATCTATCTATAACACTACAGTATCATCTAAATGAACTATATTATAATAATACATATATTTAAAATGCTCCGTCCCCATTGACATAACCATATATGAATGTAGACATCCAGACTGACAACACAATCGTGATGGTGCCGGACACAGCATTGGTTGCAGGAGATAGACCTTGGCAGCAAACTCTTTGGGGAAAAGATTAAGATTAAGATCAAGATCCTTTATTCGTCCCACAATGGGGAAATTTCAGTGTTGCATCACAAATTAGAGAACAGTAGGAATGAGGAGCACACAGCACAAGATGAATGAATAATAGTTCTATACTAAAATAAGATAAAATAAATGTATTGATCTCGCAATGGAGAAATGTACATGTCACATTTGGCACAGATAGTATCACTCAAGTTATGCAAAAAGACAGGAAGTGTGCAAAAAAGAAGCAATAAAGTAATCTCTCTCTTTAGCATAATACGGAAAGAAAATCTGAAATCTCCAATTTTAATATGATGAAGAAGCAAGACTTAAGTACAAAAACCCCTGACTTAGCATAATCAGGAGCAAGCCCACCACATCCTAATGGAAAACAGGAGATGGTCACTCACCACCGGGTCGTAGTCCCAGAGCTGGTTCCCCTTCAGGTGATGGCACTTGAGCATCATGACCGGTCCGTTTAGTTTGGACACGTCCAGACACAGGTCATCTGTTCGGATCTCTTTATTTGCAGTGTAAGAAAACACCTGGACGCAAACAGGGATGTAGTGTTATTATTAGTGATAAAATATACTGAGTCAGCACGAGTACAGAAATATCATGCATTATGTTTGTTTTAGCTATTGAAATCTATATTTAGACTATGTACTTTTTCATTGTGAATAGTAACTTCTGTTTGTAACTCCCTATGCTACCATTACTCCTATCAGTACGCTCCTATCACTGCGCTGCCGAACGGAAAGTTTCAAGAGATCATTTGTTCCTTCGGCTGTCAGACTGTACAACAAACCTGGATGAGTCTTCTGCTGCTGGAAACCTGAATTTCACCTACGGGGGATCAATAAAGTATACCTATCTATCTATTAGAGGGAGCAGTTGAAATTTTTTTTTTTTTTTTTAAATACCAGCTGCAAACACGTTAAAGAACCTTGTTTCTTCTGAGAAATTACCAAAACTAATTTATGGTCAATACCTTTGCTTTAAAAGGCAGAAACCGCTCTGAGTGTGATGTCATAGTGGTACAATGACATCATACTATTACAGGACTGAGACAGGAGCTTTTAGTCAGAAGGGGCGGAGTTACAGGTTTGTGTCAGAAGTTAATGATATTGGTGTGGATGGATCTGTTTTTGGTGATTTTATGATGGTTTGAGGTTTTCAAGTTTTCTATAGTTTCTCCAATTACAAATCTATGATATATTCAAGGATTCTAAACAACTTACTAACATGTAAGTTTCCCATACAATATTTTTCATCACATTCATTGCCTCATCAAGACTGAATAAAACATACAACACAAACATGTTTCAATTTAAAATATCGTCTGGAGCTGTACCAAAAAACAGTTCCGTGACCCTCAGTGATGTGGAGGCCTGTGTACCAGTGACATGACAAACAAATCTTTTTCTATTGTAATCATATGCACAAGAAATCAATAATAGTGTCCATGAATACTTTCCACCTCACATCTTGAGTTGAGAATACTTTATTAATCCACAAGGGAAATTATTCGGTCACTGCAGCTCCAAAAATACATGTACAAAGCAGAACACCGCGCCTTCCCACATCCATAATGAAATGAAACGAAACAATATAAAATCCTTATGTAATGAAGAAAGTGGAAGTTTTCCCAAGTCCAACCGCTCTTTGGTGTTTTTCGTAAATAACATGAAGTAAACACAGTAAAAGTATAGTTGTCAGTCTGTGATTGGGGGAGCAGCCCAGAGGAACCATATTATTATTCATTAATTAATATATTTATTTGAATTTAGGACAGTGCATATTAATGAATGTGTCGGCAAACAGCGTCAACATAAATCAGTTCATTATGTGTAATCTTGCTGCTCAATCGTATCTATTTTATGAATGGAATAATTTGACTTGGCTACTTTTCTTTCTTACTTCAACCCTCCACCACACGTCCAAACACAGCTGTGTCTGGAGCTACATTATCTCTGTTTAAAATGCACATAATCCTCCTGAGTGTACTCCACGCTGCGGTCTGCTGCCCGGACTTTATTGCTTTTAGAATCTTCTACGGAATTTTTTTGGCCCAAATGATGTGCTCATAAGTTGGATAAGCTGTTTATTATCTGTGATTTTTAAAACACTTAAAGCTTGAGAGCCTTGTTTGTGCCGACAGAAAGAGCTTTGTAAAAGTTTGTGAACACATCAGACCACAGCCTGCCGTCTTTATCTTGTTAGAAAACATGTGATCTTTTACATACTGAGAGCTGATTGGCTAACTGAGAGTGGTCCTCCATGTTTCAATGACAAAGCCAATGATGTGACAGAGTTCAAAAATACATGCATGTAAAATCTAGTGACAGAACCAAACTGCTTTGAGAGCGAGCAACTGGGGACGCAAACAAGAGAAAGACGCCCTCACTCACCGAAGAACCAAATAACACTCATCAAATAGCGACTTACGGGGTTTTTCCTTACAGATATACAAAAGATAACACGTTTATAACAAGACAGCATACGGTGGTCTGATTTGTAAAAAAAATTTGACTATTTCGGTTGTTTACTGAATATACCCCTTATGCAATCCTTGGGTCACATCGATCTGCCACAGTGATAAAAAAAATTCCAGCTGAATTTTAATGATTTTGACCAGCCCTGGGTCATTTAGACCCTTTTAGACCATAATCAGACCAGAGTGCTTTCCTTCTACTTTTTATCACAGTGGCATGTCCTTTTGACCCAAGTAGAGCTCGAGGGTAAAATTATTTTGTATTATGTTGTGATTTTAATTGTGGTTTTAATTAAATTTTGGTGTTTGTTTTATGTGATGATTTGTGCCTTGTGTGGTGTGCACTGTGAAGCGCTTTGTGTTGCCTTGTGTAGAAAAAGCACTTTATAAAAAATAAAGATTGTATTGTATTTTAATGTTTTATTTATCTTACTAGTTTTCTAAATACATGGTTCAGACTTGTGTATATACATTTGTTACTTTGGTCTCTGTGCAGCACTTTGGAAATGTGTATTATAAATTGTGCAATATAAAAAAGTGGATTAGATTACAATAAACAAAGTGTATTTTATGTAAAAAAAACAAAAACAAACTTAGAATAATCTCTTTCATTATTGATCTGTATTTTGGACAGTACCTGGTTGCCCCCCATTCCGTGACAATTGAAGATGCCCACTTTCTCATTCTCTTTGCGGGCCATGTTGTCGAGGCACTGGTTTGTCTCCACGTTACGGATCTGCGCAGAACAAAACAAAGGTAAAAATAGATCTGAGAAATCCAAATAGACCCCTGAAAGCTTTTCCATTTGAAGTCGTAAATCTCCGGTGTGTAGTGTGAGCGATGTTTGTACCTCTCCCAGGGAATAGTAGTGTCGGGGGATCTGCGAGTCCGGATACACGTTCTCCAAGTACCAGCTGAAGGGCTTACACTGGAGCTTCTGTCTCAGGGAGCTGCGAGACGTGATGTCACCGTAGTCCACTTTGGTCACACCTGGACATATGAACAGCCTGAGTGATTCTGGCCAAACAAACCAGTAACAAACCGGTATCCATGAGCGTGACTCAGTCTTGCATTACTGTTTACACTGTAGACCACAAATGTATGAGATTAAACTCAGGAGAAGCTTAAGGACCGCAAAGGACAGCACATGGCTTCCTGGTCATTTCAGTGGATGATTTTGTAGACAATTTATGTATTGAAAAATTGTCCTATTATGTAATACTGCATAATAATTAAATACTATGTAAAATTTAACACAAATCTTAATCCCAATCAGAAAGTTGTAATTCAATATGATAGAATATTGTCTGAAGTTTGAGATTTAAGATTTTAGGCAAAGGACCGTCTGTTTAACTGTTTACCTACTGTATGCCTCAACTGTATGCCTCTGCACTCAGCTTTCAGCTAATGCAGAAACTCTCCTCCTCCCACCAACTCAAGTCAGCTCTTTACTTCAGCTTCCACCACTATATCCAAAATGTCACGTAACACATGTCATAAACATCCTCTTAACCTTATCCTCTTGAAGCAATATTGTCAGCGTTTGAGTAAGTAAGTAAGTAAGTAAGTAAGTAAGTAATCTTGATTTATATACCGCCTTTCACAGACCAGAGTCACAAAGCGGTTTACAATGGTTATTTTTTGGGCATTTGTCTCTCACTCCACACAGAGATGGGAGCGGGGTTGCCAGTACAGGAGGCGCATGCCAGACCTATTGTACATGTTTTTAATGGTAGGGGAAACCGGAGTACCTGGAGGAAACCTACACAGACACGGGGCGAACATGCAAACTCCGCCTCAGAACAAATCAAATCAGATCAAATACATTTATATTTATACAGACCAAATTGACAACAACAGTAATCCCAAAGTCATCATCAAGTACTTAATTTGCTAATAGTAGACTAGAAATTAAAATCGTTGGAACAGTCATTGATTAAACGAGACACAGAAAATCCATCGTTAATAGAAAATAATTCGCAAATTACACATTCCTTTTTCTAAGCTCTTTCTCCAAAAAAACAATCACTCTAATGCGGACTATGTGCGCTGAAGACAGATGCCACATCAGCAGGTGGACCAGAGCAAAAGTGCACACTCTAAACATGTTGAGTTAGGTTGCTCATATTTGCAGACAGCGTTGTGTTTACTGGAGTGTCACAGTGACTGCTTGCTGTTGTCAGAGTGGGGGCGACTGATAAATGCTTTGTAGCGTGAAATGACTGTGCACCCCCCGCTGCGCGCCATTGCTCTCTACTTCATATCTGTCGCACACTTAATGGATAGATCACTTTAACACACATTAACCTGCAAATGCTGTGGGCACTTTCTGCACTTTAAAACATTCACATACACAAACGACACGGGTGATTTAAGGCTAAGACAGCAAACAGTCCATGTGTCATTTTGGTTTTTACTCAGACTTTAGCAGAGTTATAGACTGCCATGCTTTGGTTTCGCTCATAGGCTGCACATGAGGAATGGGAATATGATCCGTTTGAAGTCCTGCTCACACTATTCTAGCCAAAGCTGAATTGGGAGATAAAAGACATCAGATTGACTTGTTTTTCTTCTCACTCCACACAGTGATGGGAGCAAGGTTGTTAAAGTGGTAGGGGGAACCGGAGCACCCCAGAAAAACCTACGCAGACAGAGGAGCTCCACACTCCACACAGAAAGGCCCCGTGAAAAATGTAGTCTTTCGTTTACTCTTGAATGAGCTCCGGCTTGGAGCACATTTAATATTATTAGGCAGAGTATTAAATTTACAAGGAGCATGATATGAGTAGACCTGACGAAAGGGCATTACAATAATCTAAGTGACAAATACAAGGACCCAGAATTTCAGCATCTTTGACAGTGAGAAATGGTCACATGTTTTTTTTAGATGATTTAAAGCAGAAGCCCCAGAGAGAGAACAAGTTCAGTACTTCCCTATTCGACTTCAGCTTTGCTATTGTATATATATATATTTTTGAATCTCTTTTGTTGTTTCCTCTGAGATGAAATACCCACTCACCAGGAGATATGATATAGAAAAAGTTTTTGAAGTCGTCCATCCAGACTTCTGCCAGACGCCTGTTGTTTTTGTTGATAATTTGGCCCGTTCCTCCTGGAAAAGTGTACGGTGTGGCTTTTCTGAAGACGTGTCCCACATGGGAGCAAGTGACGATCTCCAGTGTCCCTCCACACTGCCAGATCTACAACAGAGAACAAACATTCACTAAATTCACACGTTATCTAACCGTCTGTTTATCTTAGAGCTCCGGATGGGGACACGAGCACATGGGGTTTACAGCAATCGCATCAACTGTAAACCAATGGAGAATTTCAGATGCAAAATATAACATCTAAAGCCAATTCAAAATCAGTTTGAGACAAGAAAGTAATAGATATGGCTCAGAAATATTATAAAAGTATTTTTTTTGTTGCTCAAATGCCAACTTTTTCTAATAGCGTTCATAGGATTAATTTATTGTAGAACATGCTTCAAAACAAGTGATGTGAATTTTAGCATAGAGCAGGGGTCTTTTTGCTCAGGAGCCACCACTAGCTTGCCTCCCCCTGCCAGGTAGCTCCTCAAAGGATTCAAGAATTTATACAGGATTGTGCTGTTGTGGCTTTTCATTCAATCCAATTAATTTCTTCATAGCACTACATCTCAACAGTTGTCTCAGAGGACTTTACAAATGTGTTGATTCACCAATAACAGATAAGGGAATCAAGTTACGAACATAGGAAATGCAGTAATGCGACTGTGGGGTGGCTGACGGCTGTAAAGTGCCAAACTGCCGTTGTGTCCTTAGGCAAGACACTTTACCCCCATTGCCTAGAATGAGTCTGGTGTCTGTGTGAATGGTTGGTGGTGGTCGGAGGGGCCGATGGCACATACTGGTTGCCTCGCTTCTGTCAGTGTGCCCCAGAGCAGCTGTGGCTACAGTAGTAGTTTATCACCACCGTGTATGGAGTGAAAGAATAATGACATATGTAAAGTGTCTTTGAGTGTCCAAAAAAGCGCTATATAAAACTAATGCATTATTATTATTATTAATAATAACAAACACTTAAGAGCCATTGGTCCATGGGGAGCGGGATGACCAATGTCCATAAATGTCCTAAAATTTCATGGATCATCACTGTCCTTAGACCGTCATGAATCAGCAAGGAATAAATGTATTCTTCTGACTTTAAATAAATGCTACTGTCATGTTATAATAACAGGGTAAGAAGCACACTGTAAAAAAAACAGGCAAGATTTAACAAAATCTGCGAAACTGCGAGGCTGTGAAAGTAAACCTTGTTATAGGGAGGGGCCACTGTACTAGACTATACTATGAATATTTTGGTATACAGTATAATGATGTTGTGCATGATTAGCCACAGATATAGATATTTTTATTGATTACTGATGAAGGTAGCTCTGTGCCATTTCATTTTTGTTTATTTTGGGAGCTGAAAGGTACAAAGTTCCTGCTGGCTTTTCCCTAAACTTATTTGGGGGCACTATTTTTGTCTCTGAACACAACGTTGTAGCATGTCAATTTGCTCGAACAGTTTGAAAACAAAGCATTGGATAAAACAGCTCCAGGTCTTTTCGAGGAGGGAACATTTTTGTATAATTAAAAAGCTTCTAAGGAAGTCTGTTCTATAATTAGGACTACACAGTTTTAACATAAGTATTAAATAAAGTAAATCCCAAATGATTCACAAGGAGGTGCTCAGGGACCACAGTTTGAGAAACACAGGCACATGAAATCAGATTGACTGTGTGTATTGATCATTGAAGCCTGTGGGGAGATGCTTGTCGCTGTTGTGACAGTCTGGCAGAGTTTGAGTGAGCTTCAATGAGGCTGACATGTGACAAAGCATTAGTCACGCTGCCGCTTTAGTCAGAGAAAGGCAAACTCTCCGGTGTGTGTTGCTGTTTTTAAAATAATGAAAGAAGAAGCGAGAGAGGAAGAGAGATGGGGAGAGCTCATGGGAACAAGCGCCCAGTTTATAGTAAACATGCAGAGTACTTTGTAGTCTTCACAAAAGATGGATGGATTTAGTTTTTAAATGTTATAATTTACAATCACTCACTGTGTTTACGGGGTAAATGGTCAGGAAATGGGATTTAACTATCATCAACAACCGGACATTTCTTGACAAGACTTACTTGTTATTATTGGCTTTTTGCTGTAAACAGTGTGTTTTTTAGCCATTACTTTGTATTTTCTAATTGTAATTTTTTGTATGTCTTTTTTATGTACAGCACTTTGGTAAACTTTTTTTTTTTAATTAGCGGTTTATACATAAACTGGACTGGACTAGTTTATAATGAGCCTGAAATACCCATGCGGCTGTGTGAGCTCAAATCATGCATGGAAACCCTGGCCGAAAATGTTGCATGGATTTGGGAACCAATCACAGAATGGGGAGGGATTCTGATGACAGACTATTTTACAGACAGAAGCTTGTATTTTGTATATAGATCTAGCAAATATGAAGCTATCTTCTCTCATGATTAAGTTGCACAAACTGCAATAATTGTTTGCAACTATTGTGTAAACATCATTCATCCTATTTTCTTTTGAGTTTTAGTCTTGCGACATACGTGATTGGGTTGAATTGATACTATTGGCGCATACATGCAGCGCATATAGTTAGAACCGTCAACCAGAGAAAATTCATATGAGAAAATGAATGAATGGTTCCTAGACTTGTGGAAATCTGGAGACAAATTCAATGAATCATGTAAACCACAGAGTCCAATCTTTGTTTTCATGTAACCACACAGCATGAATACTACACAAAGACTAGCACAATGTATTTAAGTCGACAGGATTCTAAGCTAAACCATTTACAGCTAATTATTTAGTTGTGCTCCTACTCTGCCCTGTAACATTATCCATGTGTAGTAGTAGTCTGTCCCTCAACCGCAGACTTGGCAGGGAGTTTTTCATTGTTTGTTTTGTCAGAAAACCAAGCGTTCAAAGTAAACACAATCTTGCTAATCTATAATTGCTAAAAGTGTGCTTATACTACATGCATTATAGCCATTTTATTAGCAATTGCAGCTCCAAGATGTGGCAAAGTTACAAGATGTCTCGCAGAGTGCTGCAGACTGGGAGAGGATCGGAGCGGTCGGATTGGTTTAGGGGCAAAGACAAATTCAGTTGCGGTGTAAACAGCTGAGGGAGCAGTTCCGTCAGTTTTACAGTGGGCCGCTTCACTCACTCTGAATGAGATCTCCAGGTTCTCCCCTCCCCAGATGTCCATGCCGGCGTCGTAAGTGCCAATCTCCTGGAAGTAGTCCCTGTCGATGGAAAACAAGCCTCCAGCCATCGTGGGAGTCCTGCAAACACAAGAAAGGCTGTGGTAAGAGATAAGGGTTGTCAAAAGTATCGGGAATTAAATATTAATCTATACAAAAACTATAATCAAGACTAATTTCAGAAAACTACAATCCACTTTCGTTTCCCCATTGTTAACTTATTTGTATTGCCCATTTTAGAAACAGTTTCCAAAGTGCTACCCATGAATACATCTAGATACATAGATAAAAAACATAATACAATTCTTTTTTTAATACCTAAAATTGAAAAAATATCTAAAATAAATACAAGAAAAAGACAATAGAGGACCACACAACGCAGTACTAGTGTTTTTGAAATGTCAGTTTAGTAATTGATTAATGTTTTTTTGAACCTTACATACACCTATGCTGAGAAGAGGTTATATGGCTCCGATAGTGTGTTTACAAAATATTATGGAAGTCCTCTCCGTGAAGACGTTCTCCAGGAGCATCATGTCAGATTTTTTTTGGTCAAATAAATAGAAAAATCCTCCCATATTCAATGACCTTTTAGGATCCAAACAATGAATCGATTAAACGTCCAAGCTAAGTCAATTTCAAATAACTGTCAGAATAAAAGAATAACCTTTAAACAGTGAAACTATATATAGACAGACCTTTTCACACCTTTATAACGCCTTTAATGAATTGTTCACTTCAATGACAAGTTAACACGCTCTTTTAAAACAAAAGCATTACCTCATGAGCGTAGAGTTATGGGGAAACATCTGTATCCGCAAACCTTTCAAATGATTAAGTAGTAGTATGATTAATGCCAGAATATTCAAATTAGGGTTAAAGGCCAGATTGTTAATTGAAAATGTGAGCTGTGATAAACCAAATTTATAACCTGGTCATAAAACGTTGAAGGCTTAACTTTGATGTGATTAAATAAATTACACATTTACTGCTTCAAGGTCATTTTTAAAACAGCTTTTTTTTCAGAAGGACCAATCCAAAGTGCCCTCAGCTCAAGATAAGCAAGTAATACTTTATTGTCTCCTGCTAAGTCAATCTCGTATAACAGTCAGCTTTTAAACAGTACAAATATATATATATAGACAAAAACATATGGTTTGGATTTTAAAAGAATTGTTAACTTCAAGAGAATTAATAGGATGTATAATCCATGTGCTTTGAGCTGAATGTGAAGGATTAAGAATAGCTAATCAACACAAGATAAATCTTTTCAAGTCAAATAATGTGAACAAATCACAGACCTTTGTCTTATTAGAAAACATGTAATAATCTGCACACTTGTAAGAGTCACTATTTGGCCTGAGAGCTGGTTGGCTGGGTGAGAGTTGTCCCCTTTTTTTCCTCTTCTCTGTCTGAAAAAGCTGATCAATATGTGACAAAAAATACATGCATGTGAAAAGTAGTGATAGAACTAAACAGTTCTGAGAGCGAGGAACTCGTCACATTGCATAAGAACACATTGGTGCATGACTGGTTTGATAGGTGCCACAGTATTCCATGTGCTCCAGTGGAGATATAACTGATCTATAATACATACAATCAAGTGAATGTTGTTGTATTTCTGAGATCCGCTTGATGCAAACAGCCTCACAGCCGTCAGAGGGGCCTTCAACCTCTCTCTAGTGGCTGTGATTTATTTTTCTTTACCATCTGCCTTTGGTGTGGCGAGATGCAGGGATTTTCTGGTGTACTCAAAAAACAATAATGTTTGAACAGTCAAACATTAATCAAACATGTCCCGAGAGCGGAATAAACAGCAGCATGTTGAGCGAAAGAACGAGATGCCAATTGCTTATAATGACACGGAATGGGGACAATACAAGTTATAATACAACCACAATCCATTCTCCTAAATTCACTTATTTGGATATTCAAAACTACTCAAGCTATAAACCTGGTGCTACTTTGCATGTGGAAGCCTATAATCCAAGGGCAAGACACTTAACCCCACGTTGCCTGAAGCTTCTGCTGAAACACCAAGGCAGTGGCACCACTGATGTAGCAGCCATCTTTCTGTGGACTCACCACCTGCAGAGGATCAGCGAGGGACTGGTGCTAATAGTATTGGGTGGCAGCTCTCCTTGTCACCCCCTGACCCAGAAATTGACTAATAAAGGGGTGGAAAATGAATGAATTAATGAATTGATAGATAGATACTGGTGGCCTTCTGTCAATCAGCAGCTCTTCCAAAAAAAGCGCTACACTGATGCATTCATATTATCGTTGTTACGATTAAATGGACCTATCTCTGCCAAAAAAACAAAATAGCCAGAATAGAACCGCACATGCTGCAAGCTCTTTGAAGCATAAGCCTCTAGTCAATAGGATTTACAGCAGGAGTTTTCTTTGCTCAATAACCATAAACAGAAATCTTTGCCGATGACCTCAGAGCTGTAAATTACACGCTAGGTGCACTCCTAACAACAGGGTTCGTGGTAGTGGTTTCATTGTGTGTGCATTTCTTTGTGTGGGAGGTTTTAGTGGACCAGCTCCAACATGTAGGTTACAGCATACAGTGTGTTTTTGTATATGAATATTATTGTCTTGACTCAGAGAGAGTGTGTGCTTTGTGTTATGCCATATGTGATAGTGGTTTACTTTTAGAGGTCGAACGATGGGTGGGTTTCTGTGGCCGATTTTTTCGAAGTTTGGGGGGTCTGGGGGGTCCTAATTAGCTATTTGTATTTATTTTGTATTTTATTTTATTTTATCTCCATTAGCCATTCATACAGAGCTATTCTTCCAAGAGCAAAGCAGAGTGCTTTAACAAACATACTGTACATGACACTATTTGTACTGCAAAAAAAAGTGATTCAGGAATAACTACAGGTAACAGTCAGCCAGTGCACTGCATATTGATGGAAATAGGCTCATTTTGAACAGAAGGAGAGGAAAACACAGATTTAGTTTGTCTGAAGCTCATCTTATCTGTGGTTATTCTTGTTTATTATGTTTTGATCGTCTCTTTCTGTGAGAAGCAAAAAATTGGAAATAACAATTGAAATAATTTCAGGATCCTCCCACCAGCTAATCGCCGTCCTGGGTCTAAGGACCAGACCAGACCAGACCAGGTTATGTGGCTGTAGGGTTAGGGTTAGGGTTAGGGCTCATTTGTTATGAACCCTTTTTTCTTCATTGTCAATAGGTTAATTTTTTTCTCGCACATTTACAATTTTTGTAAAATTTATACAGTATATATATATACTTTTGGACCACTGTTTCTGTTCCCCACCGTCCACACATAACGTTTTTGAGCCATAGTCAGATAATAATTGTATTGAATTTTAAACATGGATATTGATGGATATAGACTCATTTTGAAGAAGAGAAGGAGAGGAAAACATGGATACAAGATGTCCAGTGTTTTAATTGTGGAAAGTTTGTTTATATCTATAAAATTTACCTTTGTGGAGGAACTTGTTACAAATGATTACTTTTATCGAATACGAGTTTGGACGGAATTTTTTGGTTGTCTTTGTCTGCACTAGGCTTAACATCAATGCTGCATAATAATCAGGCTAAAAATGGTCTCGTGAGCCTCATGTTTGACACAAGTGCCTTAGGACAACTTTCCAAAGTGTGAATCAATGCTTTGAATATAAATAAACGCGGTGGATTTTCATGTATACAAATCAGTTTAGATATTTTAATACAGCCCTAAATTCTACGGTAGAATTTTGGATCCAGCCACACACAACAGTCTGTCTAGTCCATGCAAAGTCACCCGAGTGCAGACAGATCTCTCAAACTACTTTGTATGAGTGATCCATCCAACAATCGCAGCTCAAATAGGTTTATGCAAATCATGTCATTTGTGCAGAGTACTTCCTCCCCTGATGCTTCTGCTCATTTCTGGTTTTTGGGGCACGGACAAGACACGCATAGGGAAATGAGGCCTGCAAACGCACGGACACAGCCGGTTGCATGAGATATATCGAGTGTGTGACCTTGAATATAATAGTGCGAGCCGGTAAGACAAGAGCGTGATGGACAGACACAAATAGGCTGGAAATATCCTGCATGCTGTTCTACCTGGTGTTCTTACAGCCATTCCAAAATTGGCAAACAAAATGAGATTGGTGCTGAACAGATGCAGACATATCCCTCCTCACTTTAGCTATGAGTAATAACTGTAGTCCATTCTATTAGGTGTTGTTTATAAGTACAAATCTAAGGATGAAAATAAATAATTTACATTTACTTTCTGGCACAGCTAAATGTTTGAAATTGTCTGTATATTTTATGTCTGAACAATTAGATTTCCCTTTTGACTTACATAAAAAACTTGCACAATAGGTTTTGAATGTTAATGAGAGAGTGAATGGATGGTGTTGATCGGGGGCTTTGATGCGCCAGTGTGTTCGGCGTCTCGCTTCCGTCATCACCGTGTGGAGAGAAGGAAACAATTCTGGACATTGTAAAGTGCTCTAAAATGAGCTATATAAATAAACATTACTTATTTACTTACTTACATTGAAGAGTAAACTCCTCTTGCTCAGTAACTGTGTCACTCCCACCATGTTGTGCTTAACAAAGCTGTTGTTTAGCTATTTCTATGATATAATTGAAATTCCTGATGTGGGTCATAAGGCTTGACCAATCAGATGTCTCCAGCTTGCCTTAGCAAACATGTAGGCAACATGTATGTCTCTCAAAAATAGCTTTTTGGTCAAAAACTCGGCTCAACTCTATGCTCCAGATGCGAGTCAATGCTGAGGGGAGTATTCTTTTTTGGACCAGACTAGTTAAACCTCTGTGGACTTTTGAATGCACTCGTTAAATGCCGGCTATCACATGCGCAAAAGCGTTTTCTACATATTTGCCTGTGGGAGGGGCCACTCGCGGCCATTTTGAATCTGCCCATGTCTGTGGCACATACATTTCAATGGAGGAAATAAAGGTCACTACGTCTGTTAATATTTACAGTCTATGTGTTTTTGCTGAAGCCAAATGCAAACCTCACAAAATCATGTCAAACACGTATGCGCAATTAAATGGCACGAGATGAACTGTGTGTGTGTGTGTGTGTGTGTGTGTGCGTGTGTGCTCTTACCTGACTGGCAGTGTGCGGTCCCCTTTGCGTCGATCCATCTCCCTCTGGGGCACGGGATACCAGCGGAAATTGAGTTTCCAGTTGAAGCCTCCGTACGTCATGTCAGAACCGGCCATGTACTCGAACGTGTCGTCGCTGATCACGTCAATGATGGGACACACCACTGTTCTCCTGCAACAGAAGAGGAGACAAGTGTGTTTGTTTCTTGTGCCTTTTTGTTTCTGTGAGAGAAAACGTTGTTAAGCTATTTACTGATATAAACTGCTATGACTTACTTACGTTAGTGACTAGTTGCAAAATCCTACAATCTGGATCCTTGTGACAAAGCTACAGCAAAGATTCAGACTGTGGTTCTCAGTTTCTTATGTGGGCACTATCTCGCCAGCCTCATTACATTGCCATGCAGCTTTCACCTCGAGCAGCAACCCTCCTCCTCACCAACACTGCATCAACAGTTTGACATTTTTGTCCATTGTTTCAGCCTCAACAGGTCCACGCTGTGCTGGAATTTATTATTTTTATGTCTATTCAAAATCCCCCTTGGATAAGAGTCGAAACCCCAATTTACATCAAGTGAATGTCAGGTGAAGTGAGTAGAAAGTGTTTTTTTTACACCAGAGGCTCAGTTTCCTGTCTTCAGCGCTGCGATAACCCAGGATGCGTGACATTGATCCATAAACAACAGAACTCCTGCCTATTCATGGCAGTGTGTAACATAATTAAGCTTGTTCTATGCGCGTATTTCACTGCAGGTTAAAATTGTAAATGTGTAAATTGGGGGTTAGTGCTAAAACTATATTTTCGATTGGCACTTTCCAGCACATAGAGAGATACAGAATATTCTATTGATAAAATAGGCAAGCTATTCAGTCATCTAGACTTCAAATTAAGTGTTAATCAATGTATATAATTCACATAAAAAACACCAATCAATTACATAGCATCCAATAAGCACAAAACATTTCCCGACCATACTCTGTGTTTGCCAGGTCTAAGCGCTAAAATCATGCAGCGACCAATATACTTTATGCAAAACATATCTATATAATTCTTACTGCATTTCCCAAAAGATTGGAAGCTGTAATTGAAATTTCAACCACCTCTGCAAATCTATGCTTTGAATTGACAACAAGGACTCACGTTATTTCAAGCACAATAGGATTTGTGCAGTGAGCTAAAAGGCTTTATAATTCAGTGGTTTAATCCCAACACAAATAACAGCATTTAGAATTTACTCAATTGGACACAGAAAGAAAATGCGGTCCGTGGCCTTTAACGACTCATTTGTAGGTGCTGCACATCTCCAACTGATGCATTTAAACACTCCATCACAGACTTCCCATCAGCCATCACTCTGCCCTGTGTGTGCGTGAGGGGCGTGTCTGCTGGCGGGAAGCACTAAACACAGAATGAGTAATTAAACATCAAATAAACACAAGGGCAAGCCCCCTGCAGGCTCAACAAGCGCTTATTGATTTAGTGATGCTGCTAAGGAGAGCGTGCTGCTATAGTTAGGGACGGTGCAGGATGGACAAGGACAAACTGGGAATGACAGGATCCACTCAGACTGGTAAAATAATAACTACATACAACCATACGTATGTGTGTATGTTAGTGTGCGTGCGTGTGCGTCTTACTTGTCCTGACGGATGCGTGCCAGCAGAGGCTCCAGCCATCCTGTCGTGCATTCACAATGAGCATCCAAGAATGTGATGACCTACGAGCAAATACACAACACATTATAGACACAACTATATATTGTTCTCGTTATACTTAACATTATAATTAACAACAAATAGATCTGCAAGGTTAGTCTCAGTTTAATCCAAATTGCAAATTGACAAGTGGCTCAATGATTTCTGCAGTCGTAAGTTTTTATTCTTAAAAAAAATACTACTTTTATAGAGACAGTTTTTAGTATTGTTATGTACTGTAGATAAAGAATAGTGTTCTTAAGTCAAATTCGCATGAAAAAGTTTATATTCCTGGAGTATTTTTTTTATTATTATTGTAAGTGTAGATATCAGGATAGATATGTTGGCTCTACTTCCCAAAAATATTTCACGAGTTTGAAGACATTTCTAACTAGTTAAAGCTAGTTAAATTAGTTTTATTACCATACTAGCCAACATTTCTGTATGAAAAAGTGGATATAAATATGTGAAAGAGGCCAAAAAATAGATTAATGTGAAAACTATGGATGGAGCCACACTGTTTTGAGCGTGAGGAACTAGTCAGAAAGATTGTTATTACATAGTTTATTTTATGTAGTTTGAATGTTAGGTACCACAGTTTTAATCACTCAATATCAAAATTGTGTGTATCTCAAAACACTGATCTGTTTGTTACCTGTCCTGTAGAGAGGGACGCCCCTTTAAGTCGAGCACGGATGAGCCCCGACCTCTGCTCCATCCTCACCACTCGCACCGGTACCTCCAGCCTGCGAACGTACTGCTCCAGTGGACGCTTCAGGAAGTCTGCACACAACAAAAAACAAGCAATAATGTTAACTTTATTGATTGTCGTAGCTGTATCTGGGGACGCAATAATAACCGTGATGAGGGCTCAGTGTTTCATATTTTATATTGTTTATGAAAATACTGATATGATTGTGGCATAAACAACATTTGAATGGTGCTATCCCATGTGTACGGATCTCAAAATTCAGAAAAAAAGCTTTAACAATGTACTCTCGGGGTGCAGTAGAGAACTTTAAAATATACGTTTGAAGTCATATGATAAAACCTCATATTTACGCAAAGTTCTGTCAGCTTTTGTCTGTACAGTGTAATGCAGCCTGCAGAAATTCAGTCTGCTAGCCTCCAAGCAAACCCCTTTCACCGTCGGCCAATCACACAGCGCTGCCAACCTACGGCAATCAAGCCAGCTGTTTAAAAGCGGAAACTTCCCAACAACAAACCCTTTTCCAGCTTCGCAAAGAGTTCCTTCTGGCGCCTCATTCATCTACTCACCCCTCGCAAACTCGCAAACAGTAGCCACAGTGGTCCTGGGTTCGAATCCCGGCCGGACCAGGGCCTTTCTGAGTGGAGTTTGCATGTTCTCCCCGTGTCTGCGTAGGTTTCCTCCGGGTACTCCGGTTTCCCCTACCACTAAAAATATGTACAATATAGGTCTGGCATGCGCCTCCTGTTCGGCGACCCCGCTCCCATCTCTGTGTGGAGTGAGAGGACAAGTGCCCAAAAAAAAAATAACAATTGTAAACCGCTTTGTGACTCTGGTCTGTGAAAGGCGGTATATAAATAAAGCTTACTTACTTACTTACTTACTTACACAGCTGGACTGAGGCAGACTGGAAGCAATAAGCTAAGATAAGTGGTCTCAAATGAGGTCTCTAATCATTTTTTTTTTCATTTGAGCCAAAAGGGACACACAATTCTGTTGAGTAATTTCTAATTTTCTCTTGTCCCATGGGAAAATCTTGTTTTAAGGAAGTCAAAATGTGCTTAAGACACATTTTGCTTATTTTTTTTATCACTTTTTCCAGTGTATCAAGTCATTATTTGTAAATATGTTGATAGGTTTGGCTAACAGATGTTAAAACATCTCAGAAAATGTTAATATTTTGAAAATCATCAACATTATAACAAAGACAAAAGCTTGGCATAGTCGATATCTTATATTGGTTACATTTTGTAGTCGATTACAAAAATCGAAAGAGACTTTAGAGTGTTCCTTGTATATAAAACACCTATATACAGCCCAATTCTGATCACTTAGGACTTAGGTGACACCATGGATGTATTATATTAACTGGATAGGGTATTACTAGCTTGTAGCTGAATAACTCACGTGCTCAGGGGATTCTCGCGGTACTGCAGACTGAACCAGACTAAATTCACGTGGGCTACCCAGAAATTTTCCCCATAGAACTCAATGCATATTAAAACAGCTCAACCTCAGCTGACAGAGAACCTACAGCTTTAATAAAGATCGGATTTTGTGGGGATTTTAGTGTCCCTTGTCATCCTGAACTTTTTTTCTTCTTAAATCCTTCGGTTTTGTTTAAATCCACACTTTAGTGCCACAAACTCTGCTCGTCTGGCTCTCGCTCTAACTCCCGCTCTGATGAACTGCTCTGATTGGTCAGAGCGCGGCCGAGCCCCTCTGTGCACGTGCGTGAGACCCGGTGTGAGACCCACACACGCGTGTTTGGCGCAACGCATTATGGGAGATCATCCACTGCGCAGAACCGGGAGGACCAGACGATGCCCAAATACAGGCGAGTTTCCCATAGATCTTTGCGAGTTTCAGGCAACTTCCGCTAATCTTTCAGTCCCCATGCTGTCACAAAGCGCCACTGAGCACAACCATTCATTTGAATAGGGCGCCATCTTGGATCGCCGGGGCTTGGGTGACACACACAATGTTGGCACAAGAGCAGAGGAGATGAAGAGCTTTCCGGATGGGTGACCTGTCAGAGGTCCCGCAGGGTGAAGAGGGCGCGACGTCAGTGGCCGGGGGGGGATTGAGGGTAATAACAGGGTGTAATCCGTGCGGCTGCCGATTTAAAGACCTAATCTCTCTCAAACAGGGATTAACAGCATAGCAGAGGGTGGAGTGGCATGCCTGCATCATACTGCTACATGTACAACACATGTGAAAACGTGCCACACTGGAAAATAGGCTAAGCTCCACACCAGGAATTAACAAACTGTACATTTAGGGATCAGCATCTGCAATAATACAAGACACAGTGATCTCATGGACACCAGTGGTCATTTTTGTATCATCTGCTGCCTCAAAGTTTGCTTTTCAGTCCATTAAATCCAGATGTTCAGTCGATATAGCAGTAACTGTGATTACAAAAAAAAGTCTGATGACAGATTTAAAATCGAAAATCATTTTATTACCATTGGAAGGAACTGGAATTTTCTTTGGCTCATGGCACAAGTTAGAAAAGTAAAAAATAGATATAAAAATGTGTTTTTTGACTTTAAATCTTTCAAAAGATAACATGAAACTAATACACCTCATTTAACACAAAGTTATATCTTATGTTGATAATTATGGCTCTGTGCTTGTTAAAAAAAAAAAAAATCTAAATCAAACTAGAATTTTTTTGAAAATGGACTATAAGCTATAATCATAAAAAGTAAACAAAACAAGAGCCACAGATGGTGAAGATGAGCTATGAACAAACTACACTCACACAAAGTTTGGCTTCATGTTTGCCTTTCCTTCTCTCTAAACATTTGTGTTTATCAAATAAATTATTGCATAACTGAAGTAGCTTTCACAAAAAAAAGCAAATATGTTTTGGCTAATCATATTAAATGGTAACCGAGCTAAAACGGGTCTGGCCTTCCACAATATGAAAACATCCTAATGGGCCCTAAGAAAATAATCCCTAAGTCCTGGTCTTTATCATATTCTGTATTGATTTCATATTTTAGGTTGAATTACGTGTGAATTGACTTTTGAACACAGTTTTAATGTTGTGAATTTCATCTTTAAGTTTGTTTGGTTTGGAACTTTGGGATTGGAAACGAGACCTTGTATTTCAGTCTTTCAGTTTCCATGTATTTCTCAGAAGCAGAAATTCAGCCTTGGCTAAAACTATGATGAAATATTTTAGTCGAGAGAATGAATAGATTTGAACCTTTTCAGAAAATGTCTTGGGGATTGAAATAACATGTTCCGTGTGTAATGGTTAATGTTGTGTTGGTTTTGCAGCTGACAGAACAAGTTTCCCCTCGGACAACAAATTACGGATAATTTATCTGGGATCATCCCCAAGTGTTGAAGTAAATGCCCAAGCATGGTTTCCTATTTCATCTATCAGCAAATACAGTCACACTCAAACATTTGTGTTTACTCCTAAATCATATAAATCATAAAGCTAAAAGAGACAACCCAGGAGACCGAGATCTGATGCCAGTATACTGATTTTTTGGTCAAAAGTTCAAAAATCAGTATACTGGCATCAGAAAAATATTATAATTTTAAAAACAAATATTTAGAGAATCTTGATAAATGCAACTTAATATTATTAATACAATAACATAAAACTACATACTACATTTGACATTTCCTGAGCATTTTTGATCTATTTCAGAAATGATACAATCTTTGACAAATCAGAATATTGTTCACTTATTTCTGTAATTCAGCTCTAAATAGGAAACTAATAAATTATATAGATTCATTACATGTAAAGTGGCATATGCTAACCCTTAGTTTATTATCATTTTCATTTCAATAGAATATAATTTTCTAAGATGCTTTTTTATTTTTGTTTAACAAGAATCAACATTATAATGAATAAAAGACAAAAGCCACAGTATGTATAGTAAAGCAGTTGATGGACGTAGTGGAGACTGGTCTGACCTCGTTCGCTAGCGTCGTCCACCAGCACGATCTCCTCCAGCAGCGTGTGCGGCGAGCGGTCGATCACGGAGTGGACCGTCCGCAGCAGCGTGCTCCAGGCCTCGTTGTGGAACACGATGACCACGCTGGTGCGAGGAAGGTTATCCGGATACAGCTTGTTCTTGCACCTACACAGACAAGGCCACATCAGCACAATCGGCTTTTACACCTGTGAACGAGTTTGAAATATAAATGATGTTTTTACACAGCTGATGCCAAGGGAAGAAGGAAAATATATTCACAGGGAAAAGAAGAGAGGTTTGGCAGTGATGATATTAATAAGCTTTTCATAGCTTCCAGTTATCAGTGTCACAAAGATACACACACAATCAGGTGAATCTGCAATCTGTGACGAAGGACACATTGAAACTGAATTGAAGGTTCGTTACACTAGGGAGATTTAGAATGCATCCTAAAGACAATTTAACTCAACAAAATAAACATGCTTTTATGTTATATATTTTACACAGGGTTGCTAGGTAACATCCCAAGTGCAACATAATAATGCATCAATAATGACACTAAACTGATACGAAACTAAAATGAATAAAACCAAAATAATAATGTATTTTTTTAATATAGCACTTTATCGGTCACAATGTATTCACTCAATAGACAGAGTTAGTAAACTAGCGCTACCGTAGCCACAGCTGCCCTGAGGTAGACTCTGACCACCAGCCATCTTTCACGGACACACTAGACTCATATTCGGCAGAGTAAGTGAAGGTTCTTGCCTGAGGATGACAGTTTGGCACTTTACTTTACAGTTCCCAGAGGTCTCCCATCACTGTACTAACCAAGCCCTGTCCTGATGAGCTTCTTAGATCTGACTGAAATCAGTCTCTCACACGTTTAGCCGCATAGAGCAATAACAATGAATCAATTAATCACAACTCATCAGGTTTTTTCAATATTCACAGTCAAAAAGTAAGAGCATCAATGTTTTCCGAAATGTTCATATATATATTTACACACACACACATACATACATAGTACCTGGCAGTTCACATTCAACAATAAACTGGACTGGTCCCATAACACCAACGCCCTGTACAAGAAGGGCAAAAGTCGCCTCCATCTTCTGAGGAGGCTGCGGTCCTTCGGAGTGAGCAGGCCTCTGTTCACTCCGAAGGACCATAAGTTACTTTAAGTCACTTGCTCTAGGACTGAAACATCTGCACTGCTACTGCCACTATTTCTTTAATTGCCACTTTTTATTGTACAAAATATATCCTGAACAGCCTATATTTTTTGCCTTTAACATGTTGCACACTTCTGTCTTTTGCACATCTGAGTGACTCTATCTATGCCAAATGTGACAAGTACATTTCTCCAGTGTGAGATCAATTAAGTCTTATCGTATCTTATGAGCCCCATTTGTCAATACAATAAATACGATGTCTACCAATATAAACAAGTGACAATACAAAGAATGTGAACGAGTGTAGGTCAAACCAGTGCAAACGTGAAGTAGCAGCACACTCGGCTCTGCACACAGAGTAAACGTCTTCTGACAGAGACAAAGAGAGAGGAGGAGAAACAGATCACATTCAGCCTCAGTCTGATTATTAGAGACTGGATAGAGCCATAACTCGCACACAGGAAACTCACACACACTATAGACACTTCAATTAAACCAACAGTGAAATGATACAATTTACACAAGCGCCAGACTGCATCATCCACAATCCAAACCGCTGCATTAATCCCTTCATTACTCGTTCAGGGGAAAGTTACATCAAGGCGGAACAAAGACACACTAATTATTGAGCAATCTCGCCTGTATCCTCAAATTAGTAAATGGTAGGTCAAGTTTGAAGACAAATGATCGCATGGTAATTAGAGGGTGTTTCAATACTGGAGAAAGACAGGGGAGTAATGGAGCAAGGGGCTAAAAATAATACATATTTAATGTTTTACTTAGCGTTGAAATAAAACTAAATAAATCCAGTGCAATGCTGGTGTAGATTAGTATTACAAGCCAGCCTATTGTGTGAAATGTTACCTTATTTTACGCTTTAACAACAATTATTCTCTTAAATTGTATTGGTTGGAATAGTGATATATGTAACGTGGAGGTGTATCTTATGCTTATCGCATGAACATGGTGTTTTTGTCTGTAGGAAGGAATTTTTCATAGAGTGTTATGAATTTACTAACGATTATTTTGATAATCTATTGATTTTGTACTCATTCATTCAGTTAAGTGATTAAAGGTAAAGCTGAAAAAGATGAAGTGAAGCTGCTTGGGGACTGAAAAACTAGTGCTTGCTCTAATAGAATATATTTTTCTTTATCACCTCCCTGACCGAGGCCCTTCTCCCCTACTTGCACAGTTTGGATTGGTGGCCAGCTCTGCCCTGATGGTTGTACTTTTCTGAATAATGAAGGCCACTGTGCTCTTCGGGACCTTCAATGCTGCTCCAATGTGTTTGTATCCTTCCTCAGATCTGTGCCTCCACTGTCTTATCTCCTGACACTTCTTTGGACCTCGTGGCCTGGTTTCTGCTCTGACAATTACTGTGGGGCCTTACACAGACTGTATGTATGTATTATCATTCTAAATCACGTTCATCTTCTACATGTGTCTCCAGATTATAGGTCAAAATGCACAAATCTTAATAAAAATACAATGGATATGATGCCCATGATATTTATGTATTATGCAAATTTACTTTAGGTACTATGTGATACTTTATGGCATTAAAAATATATCTGGCTTTCCTAAAGAGTACTTGGTAACAAGCTAAATGTAAGCCATTCGGAAATTTCTTGTGCATATTGCAAAATGTTGAAAAAGTGAAAATATCCCAAAACAGTAAAACTCTCACTGCTCCACCTTCTTAGACGTAAACAGAATTTGTAGTTGAACGCATGAATCATTGAAATAACACTCAAATCTCTGACGCGCTGCTCCTCCCTCTGCTCCAGACACGAAGACTTTCCAGACTTCCACTGAACTGATGGAAAAAAAGGATTTAACTTTCCCCGAAACTAACTTTTCCTGACAGGGTGAGATAACTGCAAACACAGATCAACAATATTTGACAATGAGAAACCATACCAACAGTTCACAGGCTATTTACCAAGACGACAATGTTGGTTACACAGAGACAACCCAACATACACAGATGCAGGCGCACACCGCACACACACACAGAGAGACACAGACACACAGACACACAAAGACACACACACACACACACACACAGAGACATAGACAAACAGAGACACAGACACACAGAGATACAGACACGTACACAGACACACACACACAGACACAGACACACACAGACACACACACAGAGACACAGACACACACACACAGACACACACACACACATAGACACACACACACACAGTGACATAGACACACAGAGACACAGACATACACACACACACACACACAGTGACACAGACACACACACAGACACGCACACAGACACACGCACACACACACACACACACAGACACACACACACACAAACACACATACACACACACACACAGACACACACACATACACACATATGCTCCATGTGTTGTCAATAAAATGCAATAAATGTCATGTTTTCTGAGAGGCGTTGTCGTGGAAAGAGTGTTGCCGGTCCACCCAGCGATTGCATATGTCTCAGTAATGAATCATCGCTGGGTTTTCTGCTTCAAAAGCCGGTGACGGGGGCTTGCTGTAAATGTATTCACTCAACCTGCCGCTTCTCACACAACCAAATGGCTCCTCGTGCGCGCGCCCCTGCTCGATATTGACTCGGTCTTATCTTCTAATTGGAAAAGCAGATAGACGCGCGAGAAAGCTGAGAGAAACCACACCTAGTAATCAACTCTCGCTCAAAGACTAAAACCCATTTCACGGATCAATGTCCTCTTTTCTCTTGGCCTTGTGCGTGTGCTCCTGCCTGTCAGCCCGCTCTCCGTCACTCAGGATTTCTGTTTATCGTTTAAAAAAGCGCCATTAGCCGTACGCGATTTGCACCTGTCTGAACTTGACAGATATCTCAAGCTCTGGACCTGTTGTGTGATAGCCACGGACCTGCCAATTAGAAGATAATAAGCTGCATAAGCTGTCATTTCTATGGTTTAGCCCCGATCGTGTAGTTCATTCACCGGCGAATAACACCTTTCCGGAATTGTAATGAAGAAGGATGTTTTGTGGGATGTCGTTAAAGCTGGGCTACGTAACTTTGATGTTTAGTAAATAGTCCGTGTTGTTTGTCCCGAGACATCATATCAGAAGAAATGTAACTATTCATTTGAAACTATTTGATGCTTTGGGCTGGGAACTGAGCGGTTTCATTTCTCTGTCTGTAAACGCCTATGGAAAGATGTGATAAAGGCCAAAAATACATGTATCATTGAAGGAAACTGTTTTGAGAGAGAGGAACGAGATGAATTGGATTAGGATTGTATTAAACAGTTCCATTGGCTGTGGTTTGAATGTTAAGTAACTCAGCTTTAAAAGGACACATATTATGCAAAATAATATGTTCATTAGGTAAAATCCTCCAGCTCCGGTAGTCCTGACCAAGCCGAGCATTAACACCTGGAGATGGGTTCCCGGGCGCTGTTACTACGGTGACCACTGCTCCTGATGTAAGCCTTAGTGGCATCAGGATGGGTCAAATGCAGAGGACAAATATCGCTACGGGGACAATAAAGTGCAGAAGAAGAAGAAAAAAAAATTGTTTGATTTTAGGTCATGTTACAACATTGTTCCATCATCAAAAAACTTTTTTTTTTTTTGCTCAACCTGCGCTGAAATATGAAACAACTTTGGTCAAACTCTCTGGCTTTTAACACCGCATGAGTTGTGTGGTCCTCTTTTTATTTGTTTTTCTGATTTTATTTTTATTTTTAAATGGGATAACTAGTATTTAATTGTTTTTTTTATCACATTTTTATTCTTAACTGGTATTTTATTGTTTTTATTACATTTGTATTGTTTTTACTTTGTGCATAATGTTTTAGTTTGATATTTATTTTTAACATAAGACTGGCAAACCTGCATATTTAAATGTGTTGATTTTATCTCTATGCAGCACTTAGCAAACTTGTTTAATAAAACGTGCTATATAAATAAAGTGGACTGGATTTAAAAATGCTCCTCGCCTCCAACTCTGAATGAATCCTTACCAAGAACCGCTTTCTGTCTTTTTTTTTTCAGGACAAATCATGTTCCTTACAACGACATGCCTTTAAGAAGACCATGCCAGCTTGGACACAAATACAAACATAGTGAAATGGTTCCACTTATGGCATAAAAAAGCAGTGTCGGACATCTCCTTTAAAGGGACACAGTGAACATAAATACTGAATAACATGTTTTCTGTGAAGATATATACGAGAGGTTATTCCGTAAACGGCGGCTCACCCTTCTAAGCGCACGTCCGGCAGTGTTCGGTTGAGTGCGATCATCTCCGAGGCCATGAGGTTGAACTGGTTGATTTTGAACATTTCTTTCATCTTCTCCTGGTTTTCTTTTGGGATGACCACCGGTTTGCCCCCTTCACCGGGCCCGTCTCGTGGTTTGACCAGCGCCTCTGAAGGAAACACACACATTGCATTTGTAAACAACAGTCAGGCGCATAAACAAATGAACAAAAGACTAATAAGTAAGTGAGTAAAGTTTATTTGTATAGCGCATTTCACAGAGCAGGATCACAAAGCGCTTCACACATTAAAACACATAAAATACACATACAAGTCAGATTTAAAAACAAAAACACAATTCACAGAGGCCTACGAAAAGTGAGGCGAAAAAGCCTGTCTAAACAAATAGGTCTTAAGTTGGGACTTAAAGAAGCGCAAAGACTGAGGAAGCTCATTCCAAAGGCGAGGAAGGATCTGTCTCGTCTGGTTTTAAAACTAGTGCGGGGGACCATCAACAGGTTCTGAGTGGAGAACCTGGAGTAATATTGTTAGGAAGATGATCACAGAAATTAAAAAGCAGAGTAATATCATAAGATATATAATAAGTAATGAAGAAAAAATATACCAATCGGCAGATTCGGCAATAATGTATTTTTGCTGCTACATGTAACTCATTCACAGTTTTACTACAAACTTGTAAAGAGAGCATTGTTGTTACAATGATAGTACTCTGTATATATATATCAGTGTTTTTCAACCTTTTTTGAGCCAAGGCACACTTTTTTCACTGAAAAAATCTTGCGGCACACCTCCAGGAGAAAATGTAAAAATGTATACAGTACTAATGTAAAAAATTATATACTGTACATACTCTGTGTGATATATAAAGTATATCTTATCTTATATTATAATGTATACAGTATACTCTGTAGCCTATATTCACAATATACAGTTATTCTCATCAAAATGCTTAAGTCCAGGCCTTGACATTAAGCTTTATTTAATATTTCTCGATACAATTAACAAGAGTTTGGGAATAAAGTGGCACTAACTGTGTTGAAAAAAACTAAGAAAATCCACTCTCTGCCCAAATAGTCAAATAATAACTCACACAAAGAACATGCATTGTTAGTGCATGGGAAAAATTTAGGTATCCGAGCTTTAAATTCAGGAGTTTTGGATGAGGGACACGGGAGGTCCTGAACGCGAGTCCATGGTTCTGTCCGGTCCGCATGTCTGTGGTTCTGTCCACTCGACTATGGTCTGCGCTCGGTACCCAGTTCAGAAGTGCGTTCGCGAGAGCTGTTGTACAAAAATTGTAAATTTCATAGCAAAGGAAGGTTTCTCACCCATCTTGCTTTGACTAATCCCTGTACGACTGAGAGCTTACACAAACTTGTACATTTCATAGTTAAACCACTACAACGCGGCCACAGCTGCCCCGGGGCAGAGAGGAGGATGTTAATCCTGTTCAGAAACGGCATAATTCATTTTCAAAAACGTCTCTATCACTTTCACTTCTCACTCGCCACAAAGCTCTTGTCTCGCTCCCTCCCACATTTGTTGGTCGCATCCAATTTTACCTTTCTCGCCACAATGCGTTACAGCCTGTGGTCGCATCCAATTTTTCAGTTTCAAAGTACTTAGCTATCTGCTGCCATCTACTGATTTGAAAAAGTATTACATGGTTACTCCACAGTTCAAAACAAGTCACCGCTCGTCAACAGCGAATGCAGCTATTTTTAGACAAAGTAGACGAATTTCTCACGGCACACCAGACAATATCATACGGCACACTAGTGTGCCGCGGCACAGTGGTTGAAAAACACTGATATATATAACTGTGTCTAATGCAGACATTATACACCATATTCAGTGTGATCATGTTTTTCTCTACTTAATATTTAAGGCAGATGGTAAATATCAGTTTACCTCTCACAGAAATGTTGGAGCAGCTGTTGCAATAGAAAGTACATGTGAAAACAGCCCTGAAACAGATTGTTCAATGATTCTACATTTACAGACTATGTTTAGAAGTTCCCCTGGACCAACTCTTTTCCAATCTTTACTATCAAAGATTGGAAAAAATATTTCAAACGCAGACATATCAAAGAGATAGTGTGGATAAAATCAAAAGGAAAGATTGACAAATACATTTTTGGCAAAAATTAAAACAACCAAATCAGCCTCTGATATGATACTGTGACGCCAGTGACATAGAAACTAAAAGGTCATCAGTCTGAAAAAGTGGCAGATGAAATTCCACAAGTTAAGCATGGCCAACAAAACATCAGTAAATCACTTGATTTAAAAAGGAATCATTAAAAACAAATAATCAATACAAATTTAAATGAATGAATGAAAAATGTGTAACGGACGTGATCAATTTTAAACTTGAGAATAAAAAATGATGGTCTGGTTTCACATTTAATTGTTTTGCTACATGAAAATAATCCCTTACAAAAAGTTAACAGAGCCGCTATAGGAAACTTGTCTCATTTATAAAACAGTTTTGTTCTAGCAACTTCTAATGGACAGATGAGGTATTTGGATAAACGAAAAAACATAATATATCTTCTGATTATTAAAATCTATTTTTTGGCATTTTGTCACACTTTTGTGCCCTTTAGTATGAACAAGCCCTTATCTGTTGTTCTGTGCTGACAGCGAGGCCAGCTGATAAATGTTTTCTACAATATCTGTAGAATTTAAACAGATATATTAAAATATCAGAATTGATTCTCCAAGACAGAGGAAAGGACAGCCTTGAGTTACACATATCAAATGATAACTTCATTATCTGAAGTTGATAGGTCTACATTTACTCTTTTCTTTTTAATGAGTCATTTGGGGCAGACAGGAATAGGGTACATGGTTGTTTTTCTTCTACATGTATATGTGCATATTTCTGAAATTATTAAACCCACACTTTGATTACATTATAGCTCTGAGCTGTTTGTCATCTTTATATTGTTTGTGTCCTTACAGAAATTCCACAACAAAAGCATACAACTGAAGGATCTGATCTTCTTTAAAATGAATTAATTTAAATGTTTGTTTCCCATTAGCTTTCACCAATTGTGGTTGCTAATCTTCCAGGGGTCCCAGTTAAGATTAATGTATTACAACAACAAAAACATAAAAAATAATAAAATAAAACAATACATTCATGAATTTATTGCAATCATATTGAAGGCATTTATCAAATACTAAGTCAAAATAAAAGAACAAAATGGAAGGAGTACAGATATTTGTGTGATTATTTATAATCTAGCCTATATCATTTTAATGCTTCCTCTCTTGTTTTCTACAGCCCTGTGTATGAATAGTGCTATACAAACAAACCCGACTTGCCGATTAGCCCCAACATGTACTATCAAGATAAGATAAGATATACTTTATTGATCTCACAAAGGAGAAATTTACATGTCACATCTGGCCTGGATAGAAACACTCAAGATTGTGCAAAAAGAAAGAAATGTGCAAACATGTTAAATGCAGGATATTATATACAATAAAAAGTTCCAATTTAAAATGTGGCAATCAGAAACAGTGTCAATGCAGGTTTTTCAGTCTTAATGCAGTGATTTAAAGTGACTTGTACAGTCTGACAGCACCAGTATTACCGGTACTTTCGAAATTCAGTTCAATTCCATTTTAAATCATTTTTATCAGGCCCTGAATCACAACAGCTGATGTGTTTTCTGGACAAAGAACTTTTAAACTGTATGTAATTGTTGTACTCGACTATAGTTGAGTGCACATGTCTAGAACATACTAGAAGCACACAGGCTCACCGTCTCTCCCTGGAAGTCCGCGCTCCTTCTTGTCGTCGCACTTGTTGCACTCGCTGAAGTAAAGCAGGATGAACATGTCGAGCATCACCCACACCAGAGACGTGGCCAGGACCACCTTACAGTAGGCGAACCTCCGCATGCTGCAGAAAGACATAGGTACAGACATGAGGCCTCGATGAAAGTTACATGTTTGAGTTGAGGACAGGTGAGGACTGACGCAGCTCCCAAAGCTCAGGAGGGAGATCACTCAGTTTCATCTCACATTCCCCCGCCTCCCTCATTACTCCATCAGGCTTCTGCTCTGCTGCGCTCTCCGCCTGAGTATCTTCTCAACACCTCCATCTGTCTTTCCCCAGCCTGTCTGACTCCCGGCCTTATCCGTCAGCCGCTTATCAGCCACTCTGCAAATGGTCACCTCCATGCTGACAAGAAGGATGTTTTTGAAATGAGTACTGAAGACCCATTTGTGAGCAATGCAAGTCTGTGAGGCAGTATATTAAAAACGACAAACATAAACACATACGCCCACACACACACACTCACAAGTCAAATTTATTAAATAAAATCAAATAAATAATAAATCACATAAATCTGTAGAACTCAAACAACATGTGAAAGTAGGTCCCTAGTTACCACAGAGCCACTATCACACAAAGGGCAGGGCAGATACTGTACATACTTTGATGGTGAAAAGTTTATGTGGTGTAAAAAAGTTTGTGTGAAACGTTGAAATGAACAACCATCAGTTGTTCACTGTAATTGTTAGAAACAAGAGACTTAGGAATCCATTTAACAGTGTTACCAGTTTTCCTCCCAACAGAACAGGAGTGCAATGAACGGTTTAGGCTAAGATATTGATTGTTCCCATAGGGAAACTTGTCCTCTGCTTGTGACCTACTCTGCAATGCCACTATTACAACCAGCCAGAGGAGCAGTGGTGTGACCATCCAGCGCCACAGTGCAGCACCAAGGAACCATCCAAGACGAGTGGTAGGGGAAATCGGAGCCTGTCCCAATGCTGTTAGGGCAGTGGAAGTAGGATCATGAAAATGTATCGGGTAAAACTGTCCTTTTAAGAACACGTTTAGGTTATGCACTTTCATGATTAGTTTTAACAAAATATTGTACGCAGAGACTTTGACTCAGAAGAACTTCAATTATTTGACATTCGGGAAACCTGCTGACCGCTTACAATTTCTTCTCAAAGGTTCAATTAAGTGGTAAAAAAATTAATTTAATCCTGTGTTTTATCAAAATATCATACACAGAAAATGGGAAAACGGGGCTGAGATAGTGGCCAAAACCCTTTATTTGTGCACTGAATCATAAATGATCACTTGAACATATATTGCATCAACTATAAAATGCCCTTTTATGCCGTTTATGTATGTATCATATCATGGCCTACATACTAAGGTATGTTTTGTATTGCCTATGATACTCTATGATACAACATTCGCATTTTCGATTGACAGAACTAACTTTTTGTTGTGACGATTTTGCGCTTACATTACCCCGGTGCAGCGTGGTGCACTGAGGGCCGGCCTCCACGTGGCCCACAGACTGGAGCTGAGATAGTAATTGCTTTTCTCTGGCAGGCGGCAGGAGACAGACACGAGCACATTAAAATTCTCCGGTTCTCCTTCCCCTCTCCTCTCCGGCTGAGTCTTTGCATCAGTTATCCCTCAGGTTCAGCAACAAGCAGGAGGAGAAAATTAATTTGACCATGGTGATTTGTCTCAGGTCCCTGAGAGGAAAAAGGTGTTTGTGTGGAGCATGCTTAGCTTTGCTTAGTTTAGCCGTGCTTCGTTACTGCTGCGGAGGTGGGAGATGTGCGCTCTTCCAAATACCTCCTGATAAGATTCAGGCCACTCAAAGTGCACTCACAGCACAGGAATATAGACACTAGGGCTTTTGTCAGCAGTCTATCTGAGTCTGCTGTGCTTTTCAATGACAGTTCATGAGTTTTATTATTATTTGTTTTTATATATCAATATTAAAATGCATTTGGGGCTGAGTCATCTATGCCTCTAATATGGATGTATGGATATGATATGTTCAAAGACTTAATCTTCTCATAATAGATAGATAGATAGATACTTTATTGATCCCCGTAGGAGAAATTCAGGTGTCCAGTAGCAGCAAATATAAAAAATAGATTGATCATTCTAAAAAGCTAACAATAGTAATAATCAGAAACAGCCCTTCAGGTCACAGCAGCAGAGATGGAGTCGCCTCTGAGTCGCCTCTGGAGCAGGACGGGTCACAGCAGCAGAGGTGGAGTAGATTGGGTGGAGCAGGACGGGTCAAAGCAACAGAAGTGGAGTAGATTGGGTGGAGCAGGACGGGCCAAAGCAGATGATGTGGAGTAGACTGGGTGGAGCAGGACGGGTCAAAGCAACAGAGATGGAGAAGCTGCAGGGTGGAGTAGGACGGGTCAAAGCAGCAGATGTGGAGTAGCCTCTGGGTGGAGCAGGATGGGTCACAGCAGCAGAGGTGGAGTAGCCACTAGGTGGAGCAGGACGGGTCAAAGCTGCAGAGGTTGAGTAGCCACTAGGTGGAGCAGGACAGGTCAAAGCAGCAGGGATGGAGTAGCCTCTGGGTGGAGCAGAACGGGTCACAGCAGCAGAGGTGGAGTAGCCACTGGGTGGAGCAGTATGGGTCACAGCGACAGATGTAGAGTAATAGACAGTTATGGAAAGCCGCCGGGAAAACCATAGTGGGAAAGATGAAGTGTCCATAGGCAAACACTACATTGTGATTGATGATTGGTGGTGCTAATTCCCTTCCATCAGTCTACTCTAGCAACAGTCTCCTTTAACACCAGTCTACACTAATCAACCATATTGAGTGAATGAAAAGAGCAATTTAAAGCCTCTTTGAATGATATGACTAGAAGCATGGTTCATTGGGGGGGGGGGGCTAGAATACTCAAAAGAGTATTTATTTGTGGATGTAAAACCACAAATTAAAGCCGCAAGCGGCGTCGAACGGCCCTCGCCGCACCGCGTGACTCCCCGCACCGCGCGCACCCACCCGTGCAAAGCCACCCCGCACCACGCCTTCCCGCACCACGCCGCAACGCACCAAGCCGTAACGCACCAAGCCGCAACGCACAAAGCCGCAACGCACAAAGCCGCAACGCACAAAGCCGCAACGCACCAAGCTGCAACGCGCCGCTCCACAACGCCCCGCACTACGCCGCACCACACCGTAACACGCAGCACCGCTCAAAGGAGGTGGCGCCGCCGTGTGATGATTTGTTCTCGTAGCCATAGAAGATTTTTAGTCAAATTGTAATGAATATGATAAGTAGAGCTGGTTTGGCTCCTGATATAAACTTTGACTCAGTCTGTAGGGGGCGCTAATGGGCCAATTTCAAATATTTCACTTTCACCTGACCTAAACCCTGGAGTTGAACAATGGATTCAAGTTTAATGCAAATCAGACTCTGTTTGTGCAAACGGGAAAAAAAATAATGTTGTCAAAAACGGCCAAAAAAACCCTCACATTTTGCCGCTCCGCTGCTCAAACAACGTTTCACTGATTAAAATTCCCTGAAGTCATTTTGAAGGTACATGTGTTGAGATGATGTGGAGCGATTTTGAGGCGAATCGGTGAAACGGCCGAGGAGGAGTCGCTTTCCAACCGACATGTATGAAAACTTTTGCTGTTCATTTTTCCATTTTGCAGTGAAATTTATGGGCTTCCTGTTTGTCAGAGGGCGGAGCCATAATAATATGTTTTTCTTTTCTTGACCCGAGGAACACGTGTACCGAATTTCATGACTCTACAACAAACTTGATCTTCAGAACTCCCATAGGGGTATTATTTTGGCTGTTGTAGGTGGCGCTGTTCTGGCATTTTTTGAGTCCCATAAAAATAAACACCAAAATATCAAATTTTTCGCCAGGTCTGATTTTTGGGCTAAAATTAACAACTTTTCATGCATGTTCAGGGGGTGAAATTAAGGCTCAAAGTGCAGAATTTGACATCTCTCGAGCAAAAACAATAGGCCCTTTCCCCGTTCGGGGCTCGGGCCTAAAAAGTCAGTGTGAACACCCCTTAAGCATGCATCAGGACAACTCAAATGTCCCATTAACAAAATGAATGAAATTTCTTACATCAGAGATTCACTTCCATTCCTCCTCACAGCACGGAAATCCTGTGTGCATTATCAGTTTGCCTGTCCCACTGTTTAGAAGACTCCTCTCCAAAAATTCCTCAAATTCCAGGACTGGCGTGGAGCCTAAACCCAGCGGTTCGTTCGCCTCTCCCTCAATCCACTGAGGAGTAAGTCTAAAGAGGACCTTGCTTGACCTCCGCGGAGAAACATGAAACCAGTTCTGTGTTGCTGTGTACCACACAAAACCCTCTGCCTCAGCCTCTCCTAGTGCAAGTACAGACAGCCGGGGCAAATATGTTGAAAATATGAGCACCGAGCTGATCCATCACACTGACGCGCGTTTATTCTAGTGCACAAAGTCGTGTCAAAACCCTGTCAGGGAGATGTCAACCGGTCTCACCCGATGCCTTTAGATCAGGCCTGCCGTAAAAGAAGCAGACAGCTGTGCTCTGAGCAGCCAAGAAAGGATTTTCAACTTTAAAGGCAATACCATCAAGGGCTAGGTATGGAATCATATGGAGTTTCCTCCTTTAATAATCATCAATATAACAGCATGACAGTACTTTGTGGAGGTTTGCATTTGATCATGTTTAAGAAAAACAATATAGAAACAAATCCTTATACTGCTTCCTTGTAAGTAAGTAAGTAAGTTTTTATTTATATACCGCCTTTTCACTGCAAATCTGAGTCTCAAAGCGGTTTACAATTGTTCATTTTTGGGCATTTGTCTCTCACTCCACACAGAGATGGGAGGGGCCAGTACAGGAGGCGCATGCTAGAACTATTGGACATATTTTTAGTGGTAGGGGAAACCGGAGTACCCGGAGGAAACCTACGCAGACACGGGGAGAACATGCAAACTCCACTCAGAAAGGCCCTGGTCCGACCGGGATTCGAACCCAAGACCTTCTTGCTGAGAGGCGAGAGTGCTATCCACTCAGCCACCGTGCTGAGTGCTATCCACTCAGCACGGTGTTATTTCCTCCTTGACTATTGAGGAAAAAAACTGGGCA